ATTGACCTTCCCTCTGGGGACTCTCCAGGGAGGTAGTCACTAAAAGGGAGGAGCCTCCACCTGGCCCTTGGGTACCTAGCTCCTGATGTCACAAAAAGAGAATTTTAGGACCAAGAAAGTTTATTAGCAAAGGAAAGGAAAGATATTACCCAGCCAGACACAGAGCGGCAAATCTGACAGCTGGTGCCATGAGTGCTGGAACCTGGTGAAAAAGGAGTTTGACTCAAATTCACCTCCGGAGCCAGGGGCCAGTGGCTCACGCCTGTAATCCCAGGTACTTGGGAGGCTGAAATCAGGAGAATCATGGTTCAAGGCAAATAGTTCCAGAGACCCCCATCTCCAAAGTAACCACAGCAAAATGGACTGGAGGTGTGGCTCAAGTGGTAGAGCACTTGCAAAGCCATGAGTTCAAACTCCCATCCCACCAAAAAAGAAAAAAAAAATTACCTTAGGAAAAGTGCTGTCTCTGTTCTGACACCTGGTGTATTTTAGTCAGTTTTGCTGTTACACTGCTTATCAATTGGGCCCCAGGATTTCGATGTTGGTTTGCTTATTAAATTTGAGTCACTATGACACAATGAGCATTCCTTTTCTTTGGGGGAGGCAGCACTGGATTTGAACTCAGGGCCTCACCCTTGCTAGGCAGTACTGTACTGCTTGAGCCACTCCACCAGCCCTTTCTTTTGTGACAGTTTTTTTGAGATAGGGTCTTGTGAACTATTTCCCCAGGCTGGCTTTGAACCGTGATCCTCCTGATCTCTGCCTCCTGAGTAGCTGGGATTTCAACTGTGAGCCACCAGCCCCCTGCTCTGAGCAATCCTTTAAACAAAGGATGGATCCTACCAGATGCTCCCTTCAGGACAGGTGTCAAGCCTTGTGACAAGTATTTTCCTTTGTTGACACTTTTTTGTGCTCAGAGGAGTCATTTTCCCAAGAGTTTTTCCTCCAGGACAAGAGGCTCTAAGACATGACATCATTGCTCAATTCCCAGAATGCACTGATTATTTGGCAATCGGGCAAGGTCAGGGGGAGAAAGCAGCTCTTTTTTCTCTTTTTAACTAAATGTTGCAGCTTGTTGAGGAGGCGTAAGGCTAAACCAAAGAAAATCGTGCCTGTGTGCTTTTAAAATCACTACAACAGTGTTTACCTCTCACTTCCTGGCTGCTGTTTCCCTGCTCTAACCTGCCCACTTCATTAGCTTTTGTTTTATTTTTTGGCGATACTGGGGTTTGAACTCAGAGCCTCACGCTTGCCAGGCAGGTGTTCCACCCCTGGAGCCTCACCTTCAGTGCTTGTGTTGGGTATTTTGGGGATGGGGTCTGACCTTTTTACCTAGGCTGGCCTGGACGCCATCCTCCTTTTTGTGCTTCCTGGAGTAGCACGTCCAGCTATTGGTCTGGCTAACTTTTTGCCAGAGCTGGCCTCGAACCAAGATCCTCCTGATCTCTGCCTCTTAAGTAGCTGGGATTTCAAACTTGAGCCAACATGCCTGGCCTAATCGGTATTTTTTGCATTTAAGTGGCTTGAGAAAAGCCATCTTTAGCAAGACAAAAAAAAAAAAAAAAACCAAAAAAAGTTCCCGTAAGTACAAAGGTGTATTATTTTTGTGGAGATTAGGAATAAAATGAACTTTTTACCTGGGATCAAGAAATAAAGGGGGAGAACATGAGGCCCCGTTATTTCTAGGTGATTCCGCTTCCAGCAACTTAGGCAAGACCAGACCTGCCCAGGATGAGCTCGGGCATTGACGCCACGTCGTTGCCACGGGAAACCAGCCTCGCAGGTGGAGGGGGCAAAAGATTGGAAACTGCACCACCTTGTGCTGAGCGCAAGCGGGTGTCTGCTGCCCCCGCGCGGCCGCCTCTCGGTACTGCACCTGCGGGGAAGCGCACCTGAGTGGGGCAGTAAATGTCCTTTGTCCTGTCTCCACCGAGTGAGCGAGGATGGCGCCCCCTAGTGTTCGTAGTGCAACACAGAGGTGCTGGTTAGCCCAGCCAATCCCCTCTTTTACCTTGCAAGGTGAAACTCCAAGGTCACACAGCACAATTGTACATGGGTGACCTTGAACCTGGTGTTTAGTAGGAAGAGGGAGAAGGAGGTGAGAGGGGCCTTGGATTGAGGATGGAGGGGCTCCCAGCCGAAGGATCTAAGTTGGGGTGTCTTCCTACAGTGCACCTGCTGCCCTAATGTCCAACTTGGTAGGTTCCCTTCCCCTCCCCTCCCCTCTTCTTTTCATGGGGAGTGGAGCCCAGGCCTCCACTTGCTAGGCAGGCGCTCTGCTCCTGAGCTCCGTCCCAGCCTCCCCGTTCCTTCCGAGCGACCCTTTCTGGAGTTGCTCCTATGCACGTGACACGGGTGTAGACATGGGACTGTGTAGAGAACAAGGTTCACTGTTGCTTTCAGACGTGGCTTGGCCAGAAGGTGAGGAAGGAGGGGACAGGGTGACATTGAGGGTTTGGCTCTCAAGCTTGTTAGGGGATGCACTTCTGGACAAGCCCTTGACCTCTGTCACCAGATGCCCAGGCTCTGTGGGCCCTCTGTCTGTCTCCTGTCATGTGGTCCAGGCAGCCACAAAGAAACTTCCCATCTCCCTTGGGGACCAAGATGAGGGCTCTGGCAGGGGAGGACAGGTGAGTAGAGCTGAGAGAGCCAGGGCATGACATCCTGATAGGGACGCCCTCGGGGGCTGTGGAGCAGAGCGAGTCCTCAGCTCCAGCTCCTGCCCTGACCGTGTGGACGTTGGTCAAGGAGGCAGAGGACCACAGTAGATGCTGGGGATGGAGCTGCTGGGGGCAAGCCAAGGAGGGGATGAGAGAGAGGAAGGAGTAGCAGCTGTAAGTCTCAGCTTCAGCCACCAGCAACCTCTGGTCCCCTTTCTCCCACCTGCTCCTCCCAGTGGGCAGCACCACCTTGCACCCCTCACCCAAGCCTTCTGGGGGGACCTGTGGCTCCTGTCTCATTTTACTTTTCTTCCCATCCATTCCTCTGTTGGGACACATTCTCTACACATCTGTGGGGTGTGTGTGTGGGGGGTGTTTATTTTTTGGTGGGACAGGGATTTGAACTCAGGGCTTTCCCCTTGCAAAGCAGGAGCTCTACCACTTGAGCCACTCCTCTAGTCCATTTTGCTCTGGTTATTTTGGAGCTGGAGTCTCTTGAACTATTTGCCCGGGGCTGACTTCGAACCATGATCCTCCTGATCTCATCCTCCCAAGTAGCTAGGATTACAGGCATGAGCCACTGCACCCGACTTCCAAGTCATTTCTTAAGGGTGCCACCACCTCTCAGTACTGTTACACTGGGGATCAAATTTCAACCTGAGACTGGTGTGCGTGTGGTGCTGGGGTTTGAACCCAGGGCTTTGCACATGCTAGGCAAGCTCTGTACCACTTGAGCCACAGTCTCAGACCCTTCACGTGAGTTTTGGAGGGACCAAACACGTCCATCTCTTTTCTCCCATTCACAGCACCACAGCCCCCATCCAGGCCCCCTCCACCCTGTGCCTGGAGAATTTCTTATTCTGGATTCTTTTTCTCCCTCCTCCCTTCTCTTCTCTTCACCGTCCAGCCTCCACATGCAGCTGGAGGGACCCTAGGAAAGCCCACATCTCTCTCCAGTTGGGTCAGGCAATGGCTCCTGTGGTTTAATGACAAGTGTGTCCTGGATGACCTTGACCCCACTCCCCGCCCTTCCCCCCAGTTCCACTTAATGCTCTTGTCAAACGGAATCATTTGAATTATGCTTCCTTTGCCTGGATCTCCCTTCACACTTGTGTCTTTGGAAAGCTACACAACCCAAGAAAGGCTTCCTGAAGCCCTGGCGGTCTGTGACTGCCATGGTGCATCTCACCCCAGGGCAGGAATGAGCCCCGGGGGGTCAGTGCTGCCATTCCAGGGTCCTAGATCAGCCTGCTATGAACAGTTGAGCAGGTTGTGCCCTGCACAAGGGCGCCTGGCTGGGAGTGTGAGTGGGGTTGGAATCAACAGGCAGGGGTAGGACCCACCAGCCCTTCCACTCTCTCCCTACGGAGCCCTGCACTCACAGCCCTGCCCACTGGAGGGCGCACTTTACAAAAAATTTAAAAGGCTGGCATCCTGGTGGTGCAGCCTCCTGGGGTCTCACATTGTGTCCCCAGGCTGCTGTGCTTTTCTCCTCCTCAGTCCTCTGTTTGGGGTGTCTCCCTCGTCTTCCCTGCCCAAGCACAAGCCCCTGGGCCCTTTCTCTTACAGCCCACCATCCAGGGCTTTTCTGAGACACTGTGGGAGTTACAGCAATTCCCCACTTTGCCTCTTTACTGCCCTCCCCAGGGCACACAGAGGCTTCTACTTCAGCAGTTTCTCTTCCCACCCTCTTGAACCTATTCCCAGAACCCACTGAGGTGTCACAAAGTGCTCAGCGTAGCCCAGTGAGGTAGAACGCACCTGCAATCCCAGCACTCAGGAGGCTGAGATAGGAGAATCGAGAGTTCCAGACCAGCCTGGGCTACATAGCAAGACCCTGTCTCAAAAGACCAAAACCGAACCAAAGCAACCTGAGCACAGGAAGAATGAAGGTCACAACCTCATTCCTTTGTTTTGTGGCTGCCAATCACTCTTGGCAAGATACAGGAGGGGAGAGCCAGGTGCCGGTGTCTCACGCCTGTAATCCCAGCTACTCAGGAGGCAGAGATTAGGAGGATGGTGGTTTGAAGCCAGCCCTGGGCAAATAGTTTGCAAGACCCTATCGCAAAAATACCTGTCACAAAAAAGGGCTGGTGGAGTGGTTCAAGGTGTGGGCTCCAAGTTCAAATCCCAGTACCATAAAAAAAAAAAACAACCAAAAAAACAGAAGCCACACCTTCCCTTCCCAGACTTGTTCTCAGAAGGAGGAGTAAAGAAGAGCCATGGAAAGGGGGGTCTCTCTTGTGGCAACTGGGTCCCCATGGTAACTTAACCTCCACCCTGGGGCATCTGTGAGGTCACCCTGCCTTTTCTGGTTGGTAGAGCTGAGGGAGGCCAGACATGGAGGCCGCCCCTCCAGTTAGATCCAGCCTCTTTGGGGTTCTGCTGCAGGTCGGGAGGCTTTCAGTGCTGGTGAGTGGGGGACAGAGGACAAGAGGGTGGCAGCCACCCACCTTGCCCTTTCCAGTCACCTCTGAGCTGCTGGTTGCAAGCCCCACCTGTCCTAACCAGAGGACCCAGGTGACTGCCTGCTTTTGGGAGTGAGCTGATAGCTTCCAGATATCTCTCCTCCACGTCTGTCACATCTCTCTACCCCCCATGATGACAAGGGACAACTGGGAGCAGGGAGGAAGCACAGGTGCTTGAGGAAAGACAGCGGATCTGGGTTCAAGTCCTGAAAAATTAGAGATGGGGAGGAAGTCACTCCAATAACAATTGCAATAACAATGCGCCTTTGTGGCTGGAGTATTGCAAATAGCCATTTAAATCCAACAGAAAGGAAAGCAAATATAATACAAGACACTCTTTAAAAACTCCCTCCTCAGCCAGGTGTGGGGGGCTCACGCCTGTAATCCTAGCTACTTGGGAGGCTGAGATCAGGAGGATCACAGTTCAAGGCCAGCCTGAGCAAATAGTTTACAAGACCCTAACTGCACAATAACTGGTACAAAATGGACTGGATGTGTGGCTCAAGCAGTAGAGCGCCTACTTTGTAAGTGCAGAGCCCAGAGTTCAAATCTCAGTCCCACCAAAAAAAAAAAAAGAAAATGAAGAAAACTCTTCAGAATAGAGTCCTTAAATGTGGACATATACTGCCCTTCCTCACATGCACGGGTAACTGAGGCCTGGAGAGAGGGAGGACGGGGCCCAATCACTACAGCACAGGTGGGTGACACTGATGTCCTGCTCCTCCCACAGCTGGCTCAGAACCGTGTACACCTGTACAGCTTCTTACTTCTAAAGATCTCCATCTTCCGGAATTGGGTGTCAGGGCTGGCACAGGAGGCCCGGGGCTCCAGCAGCACACAAGCCAACCTGCCCCCGGGAGTCAGCACATGTCTCCTGGGCCAGGCTCTGCAAGCGGGATGGTCACTGCTATGGATCCCTGCATGGCTGCTGCTGTATGGACCCAGGCTGATGTGGGCAGCAGGGCTGGGCTGTGCCCGGACCCTGGGCCTGGGCCTGCAACGCCTAGGTGCTTCCAAACAGCTGTGCATGACTGTGGCCACCTGGAGGGATCTGCTTCTATCCTGTCTGCACAGCCTGATGCTGGTGGCCCTGCTGCTGCTCCTGCTGACCTGGAGGCTAGCCCAGAAGGCCCATCGCTTCAGCCTGGGTTGGATGCCCTGCCAGGTGAGTGGGCTGGCACGAGCCTGGGGCTCCGGGTGTGGCCAGGGCTGGGCTGGGGACCAGCAGCCAGGTACTGACTGGCAGGCTGTGACTGCCCTTGGGTCTACTTACCTGTCCCAGGTCCTGCTGGAGAGTCGCATGGTGCTGGAGCCCCTGATGCTGGTGAGGCATCTCTACTGGTGGGTGGAGCACACAACGACGCTGGCCTCCTGGCACCTGGTCTATCTTATCACTTGGACCGCCTGCCTTGCCTCCCACCTGCTGCAGGCCGCCTTCGAGCACACAGCCCAGCTGGCTCAGTCCCAGGAGGCTGAACCCCTGGAGGCCTCAGGGCCCTTGCCTGAGTCCCCACTCCCTGAATCTTCCACCCCTAAGGCTGGGCCCATTCCACCAGAGCCTGGAACTCCCAGAGAATAA